AGGAAGATTTTTATATTATTTAATTTTAATTAAAATAAAGATTTATATTTAGAATATTTAATGCTATTTTAGTAATAGTAAAGACATAAGAAACTAAAGAAAAGTTTTTATTTGAAATCTTTTTTCAAAAACAAAAACAAATCTATATTATTTTTCTAGACTACATTCAATATACGTTAATACATTAAAAATACTTAGTCTTAAAGCCATAAACATCAAGTCGAATACAGAAAAGAAATACGTTAAACAGCTCTAGCCTGTAGCGAAATGATGATTTTAAGCAAAGTATATCGTGAAGATAAAGGTTGAAGAGAGAACGTCAAATAGACAAACGGACAGACATGCCCGCCAAGCCAAACAATAATAATAACATGTATATTCCTTGTTGCTTGAGAATTAATCAAAGTCGTACAACATTTGGGAATCGGTTTTGTTTTCAAGCATACAATTGCTTAGAATAATTTGGCTTACGATTGAGCAAAAAGTATCAACGATCGATATCTATATATTTCACTCAAGTATCTCAAAGTAATCAGATAATGATTAGTGCTTTTGCAATGCAATTACACTGTCATTGCCTGCTTGGGTGTGCTGGTCATGGTGGGCGTGGCAAGCCAAATAAATTGCTTGGGGTCGAAAAACGAATCGAGTAGCTTCAACTCGAATCAATTGCAATCGAACGAATCGTATAATTAAATCAATTGCAGACTTGCTGGCGTCTCAAGCGAAAGACAATGTCTGACGGCGTCTGTGGCAGGAGGTGGGAGCGAGGGCGAGGGCGAGAGCGAGGGCGAGAGCTAACCGGGCGTATGCGCGATAAGCAAAAGTTGCATGGGGCACCAAAAATCCTGTCGTGTCATGCAATTATCGAGTTTTAATGAAATTTCACGCACAGTCATACAAATCCATTGAACGCAAAGCAACCAAAACTAAAAGGAAAAACGAAAACTGCGCTTAAGTGAAAAGCGCGTCAAGTGGCTGGTGGTCAGTTCTGGTGGCCTCCTCTAATTACCCGCGACACTGGGCCGGCATAGTTAATTGCATTGCCAATGATGCGGCAAAAGCATTTTGACGCACAGCTCAGACAATGCGACAAAATGGAGGGGGGAGTGGCAAAAGCCATTAAGTCATTAATGGATGCTTAAATTGTGATTAAAGTTGTAAAAGGGAATTTCATGAGCTGCCAGTTAAATAACTGTTGCCACACAAATTTCTGTGTCTGTGTGTGTGAGTGTGTGGAAAATTGAATAGCAGTCGCACAAGTACAAAATGTTGGCAAAAAGTTTAACAAGTTTTGCAGCTGTTGTGGCGTAATTAGGCCATATTCGCATTGAATTGCAAATGACATTAGAAAATTTGCAAGTAAAAGTTTGCAGCTAGTCGAGATTGGGCGGGGTGTGTGTGTATGTGTGTGTGTGGGGGGGGGGAGGGAAGCGGAGCTAACGAGTTTCCAACTGTGCGTCGAAGCCAAGTTCTGTCGTTGTGTAAATTAAATAAAACATTAATTGCTTGCTTACGTCACGTAATTTACGAAAGCCACAGTCGCAAGCCAACATTCGAGCCAACATTCAAGCCACATTCGTGCCACATTCGGCTCCCGCAGCATTACATACACGCCACAGCGACACGTACTGCCAATAAATCTCAATTGATCCCCGCGGTGTTGTTGCAAAAGTTCAATTAAAAGTCTCCCCGTGGCATGCCTCAAAGTGCCCAGGCCAGGGCACACACAAACACTCTCTCACACACACACACACACACACACACACACAACTGTTGCCCCATTGGCAAACGGCTGCAAATATGCTAAGTGGCCAAATGTGAGCACACTATTTGCATGCACTGTATGCCACATGTTCAGTGTCCTCTGTCCAGTGGGAACAGCAACAGACACAGTCACCATACGAGTCACATGCTTCACCTCATTATCTGCTCCTGCTGCTCCTACTCCCATTGCAACTTCCTGTCCGCTCAGGTAAATTGTTGACCCAACAAAAAGTGTTGCACAGTTATTAGCGCGCCATTCAAGTTTATTGGGCCGCTTGCAGTTTTAATTAAAGTCAAAGCAATAAAAAACAATGCACTCAAGCGCAAATTAACCCGATGCTAATGACACGAGTTGAAAGTTGAGCTTTAATTTGCTTACACAATTTGACAGTTAATCAAGCTTACGTTGCGCTTAAATTGCGCTTGCTTGTAGCCTGCATATTTAAAGTTGGGAAATATTCAAAGCTGAAAGTTGAGCTTTAGTTAGTTTTTAAACTTGGGCAGCTGGTCAAGGTGAAAGCTTCCATTACCCATTAAATGCACTTGTATAAAGCTTTAATATTTTTAATTGGAAACTTTCTTTAAAGCTTTGTCTTTAATGTAGCTTCATTTAGTAAAATAGCATGTGCCAAGCTTTTAAGTGCATTTGCTGTCTTTTTATGTGCACTTAAAGCCAGTTAACTATTTTTCATGGATGAAATACTGATATTAATATTGTAAAACAAAAGTTAACCTTTTTCGCAAAGTATCTTAAATTTAAGATTGTTTCAATTGATATAAGCGATTTCCTTCCTGGAACCTTTCTTCCTCTTCATTCACTATATATATTTTCTATTACTTTAGTTCTTTAAAGCTTGTTTAGAGATTTGAAAAGCACATAGTTTTAGTAGTAGAGATATCTTATGATGTTTAACTAGTTATTAATCTAAACTGATATTTTGAAAGCACATTAAATTAAGTAAAATACAAAAATTGTGAAATTTAAACTCACTTCTAGCTATAAATAAATTCTGTATAAGCTTTAATCTGCATCTGCTACTAGCTATTATTTTGTATGCCACTTTCAGCAGGTGTCATTGCAACTTAATTGAATGTTGCAAACAGACGTACATATACATAATCAGCATGAAGCCATAAACGCTCACATTTTGGCTGCCGAATGGTTATGACTACGAGTTCATCTGACTGACCAGCAGAAATTCGCAATTTTGTGTGCGTGTGTGTGTGTGTGTGTGAGTGTGTGTGTGGGTGTGTGTATGCGTGTGGATAAGCGGACAGCAAGTGCAAATAATATTATGCTTAACTGCACGCACGCACATGTCCAATGGTCAGGACAACATGTCTGCAGAGTATAGAGTCCATGGCCCGGGTGCACGGCACCGGAAGCGGCTAAGGACAACACGCACAACTTTGCTTGGCCAAACAGCATTAAGTGACCGCACGTACGCACACAGGACGACAGGCAGGACTTCGTTGGCAAGTGTGTGTGTGTGTGTGTGTGTGTGTGCGTGTGTTTGCAATTGTAATAACTGTTGTTCCGTATCGTTGTCGTAAGCTGCCTTGTTTGCCACTGTAATTGCCCAGACTGCTTCAGCTCCTGCTGCTGCTCCTACTGCTGAACCTGGCACTGCCATTGACAAGTTCAATAATGGCCATCGACCGCAGCATCTGGTTTAGTTTGTTGCCTGCTCTTCAAGCTGGCAACTTGGCATTTGGTTTCAGTTTCAGTTTCAGTTGCAGGTAACCCAACGGCAGCCAGCCGAGCGCCTAATTGAATAGCCTCTCCACTGGATGGTGGCTACAGTGAAACATTAACTGACATTTGAGCCAACACTAATCTGCATAGACCATGCAGCACGGCAGTCTCTGCCAAAAACTTACTTATCGTAGCACAACCAGCTGAAGATAGAGAGCATACTCACACACACACACACACACTCGCACACACACACACACACACTCGCACACACATACACACATTAATATGCTGTTGGCGCACATGTGCAAATCGCTGGCTGCCAAACCCTTATCACATGCACAGAGTGTCCGGGCACAAGGACTGGATTCAGGCAGCCCTTTTGCTGCTTTGCATGCATATCCTGGCCCATTCTCCCAGCTAACTGCATCTATTTAGCATAATTTGTAGTCTTGTTTTTTTCCCCCTTTATTGTTGTCTGCAACGTCTGCGAGTCGAGTGCGCTGCGGGCGAGCAAAATGGGAGCAGCAGAGACGGAAAAACTGGCATCTTGGAAGTCAAGTGTCAAGTGCCCAAGTTGCGCAGTTGGCTGAGACAAAGACAATGTCTGCCGCTTCTGTTTATGCACATATATTTTCTTTTATCGATTGTTAAAGCTAACTGTTAACTGCTTTAAAACTAAGCAACTGATTTGCGGAGATTAGCAAGTAACTGTACTTTATTTACAGACATGTACATACAAGACAAAAAAAAATAAGAACTTCACTCACCCGCTCTCTCTCTCACTTCTGACTCTCTGGTTCTCTATGAATCAAGTGCATGTGCACGCCATTTTGCTTTTAACGAAAAATCACTCGCATTTTACCGATTGTTAAAAAACACTTTCATGAGCACTGTTCGTGTGGTAGATATACCCGCACATATTAACATAACAAACACATACGCCACCAACTTATAACGTTTAACAATAATTACTTAATTTCACTTTTTAAAAAATACATTTTTACGATCAACAGACGACCGACAAGCAGAACCAACCGATCGCCAGGACAGACGCGCACAAACTAAATTGCCTAATTAAAACCAACTACAACTAGACGCACACAACTGTTTTGGAAGTTACGCTCACGCCACAGCAAAGATAACGGGATCAGAACCGTTACGGCCAGTAGCGCGCTCACAATGGACATATCTCTCTCGGTCATAAATCGCTCGCTCTCTGAATTTCGCAATTAAATAGAAACTTATTACCTACATCAGCTCTCACATGCAGACTCTCTCTTTCTATCGCTGACGGCGCGGTGACCCGTGCACAATCATTGAGCATTGCCTTCATATGGAGTCTGAATATAAATAAATTATTAATATATTATGCACTATGTTTGACATAAAATTAGTAGCCAGAAAAGAAATAGATATTAGATTAAACACGCACTTGTATTATAATTGAACTTTCCGCCAAATTTTCGGCACTGTGCAACACTGCCATGGGCCAGTCAATGCTGACGTCAGAAATGCACGAAACAGCTGTTTACCGGGCTTACTTGCCGGTAGTTGTGCACGAAATGTGTCAGAAATTAGTTTGAAAACAAGAAATTTAACTCAAATTTGTGTTTTTTAATACTTGAAATAAATACACAGTTTTACAGCAATGGTAAGTAGTAAAATAGCTGCGTTTGAAGCTTTTATGACATACTTAAAAATGCTTTCAGGATTTGGACACAATTTGCCCCGATTTAAATGGCTTGACACGCGCCTTAGCCCAGATAGTGCACAAGGACTTAACAAATGGTTAAGTAATTTAAATAATGTTTAATTAGCTATGACTAATTCGAGTGTACAGATGAACGCCTGAGCAACATACAGCCGAAGTTGGAGCGGGATACGGGCGAGTTCTATTGGAGCGCCCAAAATAAGGAGCAACAGCAGATGATGGCTTACATCCCCACACAGCACTCCAAGGATCTGGACTTTGAGCTGATAAAAGTGCTGCAGCAGAAGCTGTTGGACTGCATTATCATAGTGGCCATTGTGGATACTACGGGCAACATTCTGTACTATCAAATGACAGAGGGCTTTAAGGAGAAATAGTTTGGGTATTGTGTCTTTAATCTGGTTATTATTCGCAAATCTGTCAAATTTCAAACTCAAAGCTTTCTTAAGGCCCTTGTGTTTTTTAGAGGAAAACTGCATTTATTAAATAGCGATAGATACATTTATTCAAAATCATATCATAGTTCTGCATAAATAACAATTATGTGTATAGCCCCAGGCTTTGGGATGCCCCCCCAAGTCCAATGACAGGAATCGAAACTATCCCAAGATAAATACCTTGAGGCTGTGCACATAATAAAAATGACAATAGATCTCGCTGCATTCCGGCGCGTGTATAATCATAATTGTAATCAATAATCGTAATATAATTATCTTGACATTATTGTAACTTAATTTCAATTATCGAATGCTACAACTTAGATACAAATTAAAAATAACATTAATTATATGCATAGATATCTTAAGTTTAACAACAATCTGATTGCATGCAATTGAGAACATTTTGCTTGGGAATTACTCAAACATTTCTCTGCGGTATTTTTTTATATTTTGTTTAAAGCGTGCACCCGCATACAAACAAATCATTTTTATAAAAAATTAAATCAAGTTTTTAAAAAATTGTTAAAAAATGCTCAAAGCAATACAGTTTTTATGTTTGTTGTTTGTTTTCCTTTTTTTTAAATACAATAATAAATAACAAATGTATAAGCATGTATGTATATAATTTAAAAAATAATTAAAATAATATATATTTCAACTCGGGCAATCAGGCTGAGCAGCCAATATAGAGGCGGAAATAAAAATATACAGTTTTATAATTGTAAATATTTCGTTTTAGGTGCGTACATGTGTGTATATATATGTATATATATATAAGATGAGCTCTTTAAATATAGTTTTATATGTGTGTATAATTAATTAAAGTGCATACACAATATTATGACTTATTTCATTTTGTTCTCTCAACATTTTAAATGTGATTTGTATGTTTTATATGAAAATAGGTATGCATGTTTGTGGGTGTGTGTGTGTGTGTGTTTATGTGTGTTTGTTTGTTTCCTGCCCTAAAACTCATCTACTGGCGCTTGTAAAATAGCTGTGTATACATATCGTTCTCTTTCTTTCTCAATTAACATCTATACAAAATATAGAACCTGGCTCTCTTTTCTTTATGTTAACAAAAATCTGTCCAAAAATTCTACAACATTGCATTTAAGGCTTTCCAAAGGTTCGTCAGACTGTTCAATATATTTGATTAGGAAAATTATCAACCGAAACGAAATACAATTCACAATTTGTTAACCCCTCCGTGACAATGTGTTAGATGTATTGTATATATAGTATATATATTAATTTAGCAGCTGCCGTTGACTTGATATATAATGTATATATGATTGATATATGTATGTATATGATTGATGATGCAGGTTTACATTTATGTAGAATATTCTAGGCAATTTGGTCAATGCTTCTGAGCAACATGCACAAGGTTTATACAATATATTCACTACAGACACAGATATATATCTATATATCGGGTTTCATTCTCGAATTCTCATGTGGCTAAACAACTCGCTGCACATGTTTAAAAGCATTATTCAACTTATTTAACTGAGCTAGGCCCAGGGCCGTTGCATTAAGACTAAGACAGGGGCATTAGAGCAGCATTAACACCACTCGGCCGTGTATGAAAAGTCCTGGAAAAGCAACTGCTCCTCGTCGGTTAAGTGTCGCGGCTCCTTTGGCGGCGTTAGCTGCGCCTTCTCCGACGTAAATTCCTCGTCAAAGTTCGAGACATCCTCCAAATGGTTCTGCAAGGCATTAAAATTGTGTGTTTAGATTGTTGCCAGTTTTTGGCTTTGAATGGCACGGCACTTACAATGGTAGGCACAAATGGTGGCTTGACTTTACGCAGCAGTAAGTCGTCCCAAACGATGGAACGGAAGAACGCCTGCTTCTTGACATCCTCCGCATCGCGTTCCGATGAGCCCAACCGACGCTCCGGATTCTTGCGCAGCAGCTGCAAATTTAAAAAGTTAGCTAAATGCAACTTGATTGTGTTCAATTTTTATCACTTACCCGGCGCATGACGGCTATGGCCTCCAGTGAGAGGAAACGCGGATAGCGCACCTCATCGTTAACAATTGAATCAAAGACTTCCTCTTCATCGTCGCCGGGGAAGGGTGACTGTAAAAGGAATATACAATTGAAAACCTGTTCAATTTCAACATTTGCTAACACACTCACCTCGCCCACCAGCATCTCAAAGATGAGCACACCGAGTCCCCACCAGTCGACGGCGCGTGTATATGACGTCTCCGTTAGCACCTCGGGCGCCAGAAACTCGGGCGTGCCGCAGAATGTGCCGGTGCGGTCACCAAAGCCCATGCCCTCCTTGCACAAACCGAAATCGGCAATCTTTACATAGCCATCCGTGTCGAGCAGCAAGTTATCCAGCTTCAGATCCCGATAGATGATCTTGTTCTCGTGCAGATACTGCAGACCCAGCACCACGCACGCCGCATAGAACACAGCTCGCGGTTCCAAAAATACATCCGTGTGGATGTGCATCATCAGATCACCGCCGGCGGCGTATTCCATAACAAAGCAGACGTGTTGCTAAAAGCAATAGAGGTTTAACTATTATAGATGCATTGTAAATACAGCTTAACGCTTACCTCTGTCTGGAAACACGAATACAAATTGACTAAGAACGGATGTCGCATAGCATTGGCCACCTCAAAGATGCGCTTCTCGCTGAGCAGCGACTCCACCTCGTCGCGGGCAATAATGTCGCCCTTCTTGAGCGCCTTGATGGCATAGTACTGATTGTTGCTGCGCAGCTGCGACAATATCACCTTGCCAAAGTGCCCACGGCCCAGCACGCTCAACAGCCGGAAATTGTCCATGGACAACATGCCAGCATTTGGTGGCGCTTGACCAGCACGCAGCGCCTCATAGCCGGCTGTCTCGCGATACTGTAGGCCACGTGCCACATTCCGCCGGCCGCTGGTGGAGGCGCCCGCTGCCGTGGCCTTGGCTACATTCAGCTCATATTGATTGGCATAGATGGGTTGTTGTTGTTGTTGTTGCTGCTGCTGCTGTTGTTGTTGCTTGTCCTGGCGCTGTGCAGGCTGCGGGAATTGTGGTGGAGCGACAGCCGCAGCGCTGTTGCCATAAATTGTGGGCGTGGGCGGCTCTTGTATAATGGGCGAGGACTGCACATAGGCCAACTGCTGCTGCTGCTGCTGCTGCTGTGTGCCCACATAGAGCTTGCCCAGCTGCGGTATGACCTATACAAACATGTAGATTGGTTAATGCAATTGTAAAGCTTCGTTTATTTATAGTTAATTAGTTTTTTTTTTTTTTTGTGCAACTGCAAAAGCTCTGAATAATCGCTGTAGATGGGCAACTTTTACCTCGTCGAGCGGTTGAACAGACTCAACGCTTTCTATTAAAACACTTTCGATAGCAATAGGCTCTGCTGTGGCATCCTCTATGAGGCAGCTGCCGCTGCTGCTGCTGCTGCTGCTGCTGTTGCTGCTGGATGTTGGTGCCGCTTCAAGGGGTTCGATGGTTATGTGTACAAGATTGATTTTTGCCTGCAAGAGTTTTGTGTTTTATTTTGTTTAGAGTAGGAGAAGCCAAACACGACTGAAAACAAACAACACATACAGGTGCTTGGCTTGTTGTTGTTGCTGTCAGCACCAGCTGTTGCAGCGGCCTGGCCAAGGCCAATTGATGAAATTGATGTGAATGCTGTTGTTGTTGTTGTTGCTGCTGCTGTTGCTGTTGCAGCGCACACACCTGCCGCACCAGCTGCGCAAATGCCTGAAGTGTTGGCAATAACATTATGGCGCTTCCACCATAACGACAAATTGTTCGATTTACGGCGCTTGGCTAACAACAACTGAATAAGGCAAAACAACGGGTGGCCAAAGTCATGACCAGAGAGGCCAAAGCAATTTTTTTTTTTTTTTTGGACACCTTTTTGCGTCGCCAAAGGTCTAAAAATGTGCTAAGTACTAAGTATAGAGCATATATATACATATATATATATATATACTATTTTGCAACGTGAATTGGCATTAAGAAAAAGAAAGAACATGATGATAATAAAAGAGAAAAGAAGACGGACAAAACTCTGACGTTTCGCTTAGGTGCAATATGTGGAGGCAACACAGGGTGACAAACATATACAGGGTGACGCTGTGAGTTACGTTAGAATATAAAAGACATTTGCTGGCACGTGAAATGATTGTTTGTTATTCCCATTCGAATGGCTCAATATAAACTTGTCTATTTCAAGCACTTAAATCGTCTCATTTAACATTTCATTTTGCACACGTTATTTATTTATGATTTGTCGCGGGTTCCTGCTCTTAAATTGTCAAATTTATACGCGACACAGATTTTGGCTAGATTTCAAATGTTCACTCTATGCACTCTTCTCTATGCAAGGGCATATCAGCTAGGTGAGTGCATTTGCCGCTTATCTATCAGCTGTCTATTAAAGCACGAACTTTTGACTCAACTTCCATATAAAACCTTAAATATGTATTCATAAAATTGTCCTTGTATCATTAATTATTTTAATGCAGTAAAGGACTCGAAAATAAGACTTTCTGTTTAAAATCGGACTGAACTCATTTTATTCAGAGCGCAACATTTTCTCCTTTTGACGCTGCAGCTTCTTCTTCGATAGCTTCTTCTTCGTGGGCTCATCAGCGGCGACCTTGGCAACGACCTCTTCCTTCTCGGTCAGAATGACCTCAACGTGGCACGGCGACGACATGTAGGGATTGATGCGACCATGGGCACGATACATGCGACGACGCTGGCACTGGGCGCGATTCACCTGAATGTGCTCAACGACCAGGCGATCGGCATCGAGTCCTTTGTAGTCGGCATTCGCTTCTGCGTTGCGCAGCAGCTGCAACAGAAACTCGGCCGACTTCTTGGGCCAGCGACCCTGCGTGGTCTTCCACTGCTTGGCCTGGGCGCAACGACTGACGCCGCCAGTGGCACGGCGGAAGGGCACACACTCCTTCTGCTCCATGACGGCTTTGAGGAAGCGCTGGGCACGACGCAGCGGCATGCGCTTGATGGCCTGGGCGGTCTCGTAGGTGTTCTTGAAATGGACACGTAGATTGGGACCACGTGCCTTGCACGACTTGGTGGCATTGTCTGGTTCACGCGAGTAACGACCCATTTTTTTAATAGCTCCTTTAACGTATACGAATTGGAAGTAAGAGACTTTACCCTCTGAGGTGTTCTTTTATAGCTTTTCCCGTGATAGTTTTTGCAGAGCCTGCTTGAAAACTGTAATCCCTTAAATGTCAGAATGTTTGAGACACAGTTGTCACCTTAACAGTATAACACTAACAGAAAAATTTGGCCTTCTAACAGCTGTTAATCTAATGTCCTAGCAAGTTTTTTTATTATTTAAAAGCACCTGACAACTGTTAACAGTATAATTCGCCGCAGAGAAGTCAAAAAGTCGAGGAAAATATCGAAAGTATCGATGAGTTTAGTGACATCCACTTGCAATTGCAATTTCAATTTGTACGTCGACGCAATATTCAGAGCTTTCGTTGGGTTAGATTACTTATACAAATAAACTTAATTTAATAAATTTCTACAGTTTAAGCTGCGCTTTTGCTCTGGCGCCTAGTTAGCTGCATTATTTTATAATTACATGAACATGGCAAGTGCTGTTAGTTAAACCAAATGTGCAAGTGCTGTTAAAGCTGTGTAATGTTCAATGCTGTTAATTTACATTTACATAACACTCACTGTTAGGCGTACTAAATGTGCATGTTGTGTTGCTGTTAATGCGCCGTTGCTGTTATTAACATAAGATAGCGCTCAGTGTTGTGAGTGTGTGTGAGTGCATTTATGTACACGAATAAAAGTTTGCGTTAAAGCGAATTTAGGGTGAATGCAGGAAGTTTGACAACAGATAAAGCTGAAGTAGCTGTCAAAGGAACAATAACAGTAACAGTGGCAATAACAGAACACCAACAACATGATTAACATGAAACTCATTTGGGTAAATTAGTATTGAGCTCAATTAACAGACAAAACGAAACCATAAACCAAACCATAGCCGAAAAATAAAACAGGATATCAAATGAAAAAACCTCCTAACCTCCACACAGAAACGATCGCCGGCACTGGAACTGCGGCTGGACTGCAGCCCACCGCTGTACAAATACTCATCGTCATCCTCGGGATACTCAACCAGTGGCGAGGATGGCATGGTCTCCTCATCATCCGCACGCCGGCCGCCAACGAGCACCACCGGCGGCAGCGTCAGCACTGGACGATGCATTTGCTGCTCCACCGCCGAGGTGGTGGCACCCCTTGACGGAGTTGGCGACTGTTTGGGCACAGCCGAAGCAGCTGGAGGCGGCTTCTCGGGCAGCTGGAACTGAAACGGGTTGCGTATTGGTAAGGAAAGCTCGCTTGCGCTTAGCCTGTGCTGCTGCTGCTGGTCATGGTGAGTATGGCGACTGGCGGGCGGCAGAACATTGGTGGTTAGTTCAGGTTCAGGTTCGGGTTCGGGTTCGGGTTCAGGGGGCGCTGGCGGCGACTCTTGCATGGGCATTACGGTCTGTATCTGCACGATCTGCAGCGTTGCCGTGCGATCCAAGGAATTGGCCAGGCGCGGCTGCTGTCTGCCCGGCGGCAGCTGATCCATTTGCTGTTGCTCCCGCTGCTGTTGCAGCTTCTCGAGCAGCTCCTGTTCGAGCTGCAGCTGCTCCATGGGCCAGCCGGGCGACTGTTGTGTGTGCAGCAGGCGGCGCAGCGTGTTTGGATGCGATTCCATTTCGGAAAGGAAGTCAAATTCATGCAACGCGTCCTGCAACTGTCGGCGATTAACGGCATCATGACAGGACACACACACACACACACACGGGAACGCGCACGCGCAGTCAGGCAAAGCATTAAGCAACAGCAGGCAAGCGGAAGAGAGTGGAAGAAAGCAGTCAAAGAAATGGGAAGGATAAGCTCACGACTGTTGATAAGAAATTGAAACGTGCAGAAAATGGCGAGAGGCGACAGACAAGAGAATCACCAAGAATCACAAGAAACCCCCACAAAAAATATGTGGGCGACATGAGGCAGAAAAGAAAGCAAGACACAAGAGAGAGAGGAAGTTGAATGATGATGTAGAAAGTTGAAGAGATGAAAAGAAATGATACAAAGAAAGAGCAAGAAATAGTTTGCGGCTTTGATCAAGAGAAAGAAAGGGGTGGAGGGAGAGAGAGAGAGAAGGAGAGAGAGAGGGAACTAAGCGTAAGCACTATGAGAAAGGGTTTGGGAAATTATGATGTTCTAAGGCTTGGATAGCACTCGATAATGGGAACTAGTTCTATAGAACTGCATTTAATGACTAAAAAAAACCGTTTGACTACAGAGGGAAAGCAAGCTTAGGTAAATTTTTGATAAATCAGGATGTTACTTTGCAGCTTAGAATTTTGAAGCAAGTTCAAAAGAACTAAAATGAACGAAAAGTCAACTGCTAAACTACGAAGTATCTAGATGCCTGAGCTAAGTAATGAACGCAGGATTATCATGGCTGTTTTTTTTTAAGCTCATTTGAACTAGTTCAAAAGCAACTAATTTGTAACTATTGTAAAAATTTTTTTATTGTGGGGCATAACAGGCTTTGATTTATGAAACTAGTTCACAATTTGCCTATAATATTGTTTATATGTGTTGTTCAGATAACCTTCCAGATATAGTTAAACAACGAGCTGAAACTAATTAAAGGCTTAAAAAATAATATACATTTTAGAACTAGTTCAAAGCAATGTTTAAAGCTGAGATTGAGGCTAGCTGATATAAAATCTTCCCTACCTAGATCAAAAATAACTAAAAGACCTGCTAGTTGACTCTCTTCATAGGGTTATGATATTGAAAAGGAACAGACAGAAACATATAGTTAATCATATTTGAATACCAAATTATGAATATCAGCAATCAATTTAGGATCAATGTCGAGTTCTGTTTTGTATGGAGTTTTGGTTGCTAATCAGATGATATATGTCTATATGTACAGTTACAAAATCCAACACCAAAGCGAATATGACCAAACACAGACTATATAGACATGGGATGGGCTATACATGAGTGTGGATAATTATACAGAATGAGGCAGCTCTGGCAGAGGCACAAAGATCGAAACAGCTACAGAATTACAGCTATATAGGTAACCATATAAATATATTTAGATATATATATATATATATTTATATGTATAGTAGGAGTGTGTATATATGTATAGGTAAGGAAGGGCTTTGCTATACAGTTGCCAAGCATAGAGTATTAAGCTGCTTACCTCCTGATCCAGCACTGGGGTGACAGACTTCAGCACGGGCGGCGGCGGTGGCGCTGTGGTGGGCGCGGCAGTACGTCCGGGCGGCGTCTTGCCGGGCATTTGCAGGCTTAGCGAATTGGGTCTAGCTGCATTGGGTGCAATGATGTTGCTCGACGCTGGCTGTGGCGGCGGCGGCGGCGTCTCTGGCGGCAGCACACTGATGCCCTGCATGTGCATGGAGAGCGGACGCAGGCCGCTCAAGCCGCTAGCTGCGGGATCCGGATACTCGCCGGGCGTCTCGACATGCTCATGCAGACCGGCATCCGGATCGAATTCCATGTTCTGGGCCTGTTCGCCCGGTGAATACGGTTCAGGTTCGACGGCCAGCGCATCTGAGGAGGGCGTGCGCGATATGGGCGACTCCGAGCCTCGCGAGGCGGCGCTGCTGGGCAACGGCGAGGAGGCGCGACCAGTGATAGCAGCTGCATTGCCGCCAGTGCCCATGTGTACATGATTGGGTGCATTGCGCTTGAGCAAACGGCCCCAGGTGGCCACATTGATGTTCATTTGCTTGGCGCGCGGTATATTCTTGGCCTGCTGGCGATTGAAGATCATGCGCTGGCGTCGTAGCTTGGGCTTTTGTGAGATCATCGGATTAAGAAATTTGATCTCGGCAAAGAGCAAGCCCTGCGGCTCCAGCTGCAGCGCCATGCCGTGACGCACATCGTCAATGAACTCCTCCAGGCGCAGCACCTTGACAGCGCACAGAGAGCGCCAGTCACGCCAATAGACGCCAATTTCCAGCTCTCGGGAGCGGTCTAGATCGATGGAGAAGCGCTGATCCCAGGCCTGCTGTGAGCAGGGCTTCCAGGAGGTCTGTCCCACGGTAATGTTGTCCAGCTTAATGGCAGCCATAATTTCAATCGATGTCTCATCCTTCACCGAATAGCTCTTCGAGCTGCTGCGCGAGGTGACGCCCTTGACAAAGCTGCGCAGATCACCCGGACTGGAGCTGTTGTCTTTGTCGCGACGCGAGCGTCCAGGCACATCCTCCAACAGATCCTGACAGCCCATCAGGCGCACCTCCAGCTTGCCCGTGACGCTGGCGCAGCGGCCCAGCGATGATACTGATTGATACGACTTGCCACCGAGCAGGCCGCCCGGTCCAGACTGCAGCGATGTGTAGTGCACAGGCGCCGGCGATGTCGACTGCTGCACAATCTGCAGCTCCTTCTTGAGCAGCTGGGCGGTCGGCGAGTCCGTGGGCAGCTCCTGGCGTCGCAGCTCCAAGGAGTAGCGTAAGAGATCAAGTTTACGCGATGATTCCGACAAACGGCCGTGCGCCTGCAAAACAGAAATGCAATTTGCAATTGATTAGATTATATTTTACGATCGAAATCTGATTGAGAATCAAAACAATATCTTGTTTACACGCTACTTTATTTAGTTCTTTATTACTTTAATATAAAACATATAAACAGATTCAGCGCACATAAATGTTTGTGTGAGGAACATTTGTGAACAATCTTTAACTTAAGTCTCTATTTCAAGGTAGGGTTCGATCGGATTGGGTGGCGTAGATTAAGGGGCATAAGAACTTATGCAGAGTGTTAAATGCAAGCTAAAAGAAATAATAAGTTAATAAGTTACTAAACTCGATTATAACCGAAGTTTATGGACCAAGGCAGAGTTTTCTTTTAATGAGCTGTGAAAAAGTAAGTTTATTTATGTATATATTCAAAATATTTAAATTTGTCTCTAAAACGAGTGTCTTTCGATTGAGAAACTTGTTACTGCATGTCGAGAGAATTCTCATATTATCTAAAGATGAAGTTGTAGAAGAACTTTCATTCTCTTTATCTACTTAAGCATAGCTTCTAAAGAGCTTCTCTATTCCTTTGATTATTTTCTAAATGATAAGCGGACGGACGCATTGTTCATCTTCCATAACATATTTCAGGCTCTGCCATGGTTTTCTTTTAGACATTTAGTTCCTAAAGCTAATCCAACTATGGTTGCGGTCGTCGCAGCATTGGGCGCTCCCCCAAAGAGAAAGCGCGTCCGCGCAGCTGGAAACGTTCGGCCAGCCAGCGCTGGCAGCTGTCGCATAGGCAGTTGGGATTCTTGGTGGGTCCCACGTGATGGCCCGGCTTGCGCATGGCAACCACATTGCCGAAGCGACGCGCCTTCTCCAGATGCTCGTGCGTATAGCCAGAGACAACGGTGGAGGTCTCGCTGGCCAAGCTCGGACTATCGCGTGAGATCTGAAAGCGACGCGCGGGCAGTGGCGAGGGCGCCACCGAGTGCCCAAACGTGGTGGCCGATGTGGTGCTGGGTGGTGCCTCGCTGCCGCAGCGCAGCACGGTGCTGGCCGTCGAAAGCAGCTGCGGTGAGCTGCGCTCCGAGGAGGGCGAACCAGGCGCCGCCTGTACGCTGAGATTATCGCGCGCCTCGCTCTTCCAACGATAGCCGGGATGCAGGCGCCTGAATGGATCCATGGCCGTGGCCGCAGCAGGTGCAGCTATAACTGGCGCTGACTGTGGCGGCTCTGGACTTGCGGGCGGACCAAAGAACTGCAGAAAACCAGGTCGGTTACGTGCAGTATGCGACAGCTGCTGCAACTGCCGGCCCGGATAGGTATTGTAGCCCAGATTGCTCTCCGAGAAACCATCCGATTCGGAGGGCAGCGTATCGCTGCGCTGGAACGAGCCACGCTGCGAATGCACCTCCGTTATGGTCGTCAACGGATGCGGATGCGGCGAGGTGGAACCCGGCGGCATTGCCTGCGCCTGCTGCTGCTGCTGCTGTTGGTGATGCTGCGGCAGTTGCTCTGCGGAGTGTTGCCGTGACCAGAGCCGCTCCATTTGCCGGATGCGTACGCGATCCAGCGAGTTCTCATAGTCAAAGCTGTCCGATTTGGTGAGCGCTGCAAATGCAGCATGGCCGGACGTATCCACCTCATCTGTGTCCTTCCACGAGGTGTCCACACAGTCGCCAGCCAAGACGCTGGACACGCTGCTGCACGTGGCATCCCGTGCCATGGTCGAGCGTGAGGAATTGGGATATGCGCCGCTGCTTTGCGTCTCATCGCTCGGCTGGCGCATATATTTCTGACGCAGATTCGCCAGCTTGGCGGCACGCTGATCCCCGATGTGCTTGCGGAACAGCAGCTGCTTGGATTCGCTGACCTCCTCGACGGTGCTGCACTTGGTTATCGCATGACCCAAATTGAGTTTCTGCTGTTGCTGCTGCTTCGCGGATGGCAGCGGCGACTTCTGGGCCAGGCGACGTGGCAGGGCGGCGCCCGAGATGCGCTGATGCCGCAGCAGCATCTGCTCGTTGTCCAGCACCGTTTGCGGTGTCGAATTGGAGTCCAGTTCGTACATATGATGCTCATTGTTGTTGTCCGAATCGGAGCTGGAGGCCTCGGCATCCGCCTGTTCCTCATCCTCCTCGGAGCCCGTGCAATAGACATCAATGTGCACGGTGCGCGGCTTTTTCTCGCCCAGATTGGGCAGTCGGGGCGTCGCCTGAGACGTAGCCTGAGACAGCGGCGGTATGCGCGACATCGAGGCCGACTTGAATGTGGACGAGGGCGTAACAGGCGTGGGCGTGGGCGAGTAGGTTGGCTGCAATATGACGCTGATTAGTCACACACACGATTTGGGCTATATGGGCGCTCGCTTACCACATAGGTGTTCGCCTCCTCCGCATGACGCCTGTTGGCAAAGTTCATGAGGCCCTCGGTGGTGGCGCGTCGCTGTTCATAGGCGGGCCGACGCCGCTGTCGCTCCTCCGAATCGCTGGTCTGTGAGCAGGCATCGCGCAGCTGCTGCGCATGCACCTTGCTGTGATAGACAAAGGGCTCATTGAGTGCCGCCTCCAGCTGTTGCTGCTGCGGCAGAAAATCGGCCACGGCAGAAACGACAATGTTGCAGGTGCTGCGGCAACGCGTGCCGCACATCTGAGCGGTAACCCCGCCGCCGGGCGACGCCTCATCCGTTGGCTGTATGTGTCGCGAGGCCTGCGGACTGCCAAAAGCCGAATCCGCATAGGTTGTCGCCGAGGAATTGGTGCTGCGAAAGCTTGTCGCAGCCGTTGCCTACGATTCGTTCTCGTTAACTTTTGCCGCATTTTATCAATTCAATTGGCAGCTTACCTTCTCCGGCTCTGTTTCGTGCTCCTCCGCGGTTGGCGTGCACAACTTGTAAACGACACGCACCGGATGCAGTGGCTCCTGTGCGCTAAACTCCCGCTGCACTGGCTCACCGCCCGCCCGCGCGAATGTCAGCTGTGCACGCACTGTCCACTCGGCGGTCAGCTCATGAGGCAACGGCGGCAGCAGCGGTTGCGAGGGCTGTTCACCCTCCGCTCCGCGATTGATGCTGCTGCTCATGATGCTGGCCCCACCTTTTAGGCACACATGTTTTCTTTTTTCACGTTGCCTCAAGGTACCGCTCAATTTCTATATACAACACACGATCTGCACAGATACGCGGCATATAGTTTTTATAATTTTTTTTATATATATTCTTCTAGATTAAGCTAAAAATACAACACAAATTGTTGCTCTTGATAGTTTGGCAAACATACACGCACACGCACACGCACACACACAAAAGCATCGCGAGGGCGGTTCCATAGAAGGTGAACTTTTCATATCCATAAGCTCTACGATTCAGCTGATATTTATTTCTTTATAAGAAACGCTAAAAACTATTATAAGACTGGCATACTTCATCTGCTCATGGCTAACCTATATATTCTTAAATAGTTCGATTAATTTCTTACAGATAATTAAAATCCATTTTTTATATTTACAACGATTACAAGTTCCACGTTTTTGAAACTCTTAACGGCTTTAAAATGCTTTGGCAAAGGAATAAATGAAATATTTAATAATCTGATCATTTCTGACGGCTAATTAAAATCTGAAAGGAAAAAATGCATATTTCGAGTTTTAAAAATAAACATCATAGACAATTTCTAGCATCAAATTTATGGTTCCCAATAATTGGCTGCATATGACGTACATATTGCTATCTGAATCATCAAATTCTGAACAAACGAAAAATGAGTAAAATAAATATTCGATTTTCAATCAAAAGACATCAAAACGAAATTAAGCAGCAAAATTTATAGAATTTAATGAGCAAAAAGCTTATTTCATTTTTTTTTGTACTCGGAAATCGATCGAAAACTATTTGCGAAATCTTAAAAACTGAAAACTAAAAGCCGCCATTTAATTCTGTGAGAAACCTAAATTCTTATTGAATCTTTTACAACTCAAATGCTTATTCATTTCACTTTTATTTTCATTTTTATTAATTTAATTATGTTCTTTATAAAGACACGGATTACTATCGTTAACTAATTTCTATTTAATTTTAAATGCAGCCCTCGTTTCGTGGGCGCTTTATATTGTTATTTGTGGCCTTTTGATCCGTTTTATTTTATGATCTTTTATTATTTTGTTCTTATTTTTTGATTTTTATTTTAATGTTTTTTATTTTTAGCTTCAATCAGCCACGCACAAAAACACTTTCGATTTTATATATGTTGTTGTTGTTGTTGTTTTTTGTTCTTCCTTTTTCCACTTGGCATGTAAAATTGTGTTTCTAATTTTATGTGCATTTATTTATAAATTCTCTCGCCGTTTATTGTTGCTGTTTTTGTTGTTGTAAAATACTAAAAATCGCAAGATGACCCCAAAAGCCAAATCGCGTTAACCACGCACGAAAATAAAATGCAGCTCGCAAACAAGGTAAAAAGAAAAAAAAAAAAATTGAAAAAGAAAAAAAATTACGCAATTATTTTTAAATGGGAATACAAAAAAAAAAAAAAAAGAAGTTAAAAAACTTGAAACACGCTGCGTATGCGTAATGTTTCTTTTTAATGCCTGGAATTCGAGTGACGTCGAGTGTGTGTGTGTGTGCGTGTGCTGCTTATGGGTGTGCGTGTGTTAAGCGTTTATAGTTTATGCGACGGTCTCTTTTAATTACATATGCATAAAGTTTTAAACCGACAAAAAAATATGCACTTAAAGCGCCGCAAACCAAGAAAAATAATTAAAAATTATTTTAAAAAAAAAACTTTAAAAAATTAAACAAAAAATAAAAAAAACGACACGCGGCAAACAAAAAGCAAGCAAACGCAACAACACGCGCACGTAGCCCAAACGGCAACAGAACTCAAACTGAAATGCGTGAAAATTCGCTAGAGAAACAATTTTTCCGCTTTCAAACGGGCAACAGGCAGAACACACACAGAATTTGGCTGCGCTCTCTTCACGAATATGTATACATACATATGTACATACATGAAACTATATAGATATAGATCGTAGAAACTCTATATGCATATATGTGCTCAGCATAGTTCTATTAATGTTTAGCAAACACACGAAAGCGAGCAAAGGGCATTTGGCTGTTGCCTTTGTTTATCGCCCAGGAAACATTCGAAGAAACATCTGTCGACCGATTGGATCCCAAACCCCGCCTCCGACCCCGCCACCTTGCTTGCATCTGTTGTTGTCAAAAACTGCACTTCAGCCAGAAAAATTCATGCCGCCCACCCTCGGCTCGGTCGCATCTTAAAACAAATAAATACGCACTGCAAATAGAATGGAACACGTATGCTCTATATTGGCCGGCCACATTCGTTCTTGTTGTTTTTTTGGTACATACTATTATCCAATAGGGGCAGCTTCTATTGGAGTCAAAAAAACAAAGAAAGGAAACGAAACGAAAAAATGCCACAACATCATCTGTACGAATAAATCACAAGCATGGACAAGACATTCCATTTGTCCACGCGACAGGAAGTCGGAAACATTGTGACATAAATTAGGCGGGATCGTGCAGAAACTGTCGAAGCTTGAATACTCTAGGAAATCTATTGGAACAGAGTACATAAAGAAGGTTATGTACTTTAAATGTTTATAAATGGCTGAAAGTCCCAACTAACTGCCAATAAACTCTTTTCAAGTTTGTTAACAGTGTATATTACCAATATGTCAGGAATGCTCAAGCTTTGACCCAGCTCAAGCAAACCCTAATGCCTGTTACTAAATTCTATATTATTTTCCCTTCTACCCAAACCGGTTGGGAAAACGCATATACCTACTCTACACTAACCGTAGGGCCTCTCGTGTCCATGGCCAAATGTCATTTTGAAATACTGTGCATATTTTCGAGCATATTTTGCAAGCGAACTCGCCAGTAAATTAATGAGGCGACAGTTCGCACTTAAAAGACGCACACACAAGCAAGCTAGTGCGACTTTCATCGCCACGCCGAAAATAAATACCCTTGCAGACAAGTGGCTAAGTAACGTTTTTGTGCGAAAGCCCAATTTCCGACTAATTGTTCTAATGGGTGCTATAGAATTGTAAGGTTCCTAATTGCAGACATAATCTTGAGAAATAGAAAAATGTTCGACACCAAACTGATTTTTCCTACAGTTCTTCGATTCTTCCTTTAGAGCCTAAGAATATAGTAGACGGATATTGATTAAATCCAGCACATGACTAGTTAAGTCAAAAACTTAGGTTTTAAACAAGTGCATCTACGTCATCTTCATGACATTCTTAAAGGTTCGTTCCGGTCAGTTCCGACTTACACTTGAACTCTCTAATAGAAAATCGTATCTATGCAGATTTTCATGACAAAAGTTTTATAAAATAAGAGACTAGTTAGCGCCTCGCTTATTAATATTGATCGGGAATATATATACTTTATGGGGTCGGATACGCCCCAATTTATGCGTTACGCATTTCATTGTACGGAGAGTATAAAAAACATAAAGCACGACAAAAGGAGGGCAGGGAAAAATTGAAATATTTTCAACAGCCGCGTAATTAGCCTCGTTTTGTTTTTTTCTGTTTTTTTTTTTATGCTTGGGCTGGTGCGTATTGCCTTAAGGCAAACGGCGCGTATACGCAACGCATGTGCACATGAATCATACGCCGTGTGGCACACGCCACAAGTGTCGACTCTCTCTCTCTCACTCGCTCTCACTCACTCTCTTTTACCTGGGGGCAGGCCGAGCGTTTGGCCCGCCCGTTCGCGCGCGCACCCGCTTACCTGGCCCGCGGCCAGCTCTAAGAATTTAGGTTAATCTAATTAACGCTAAGTAGCAGAAAGGTAAAATATAAAAAAATCTGTCGCCCACTCACCTCCTGCAGCGCCTTCTTGTCTGGTGCACGATTCGCCGTCTGCAGCGTGCGTATGACATTCTTGGCTCCATCAACGACCGCTGCCTCGATGCGCAGCCGGTGACGCAGCTCCTCGATGCGCTCCTCCAGCGTTGTCTCCAGGCTCTGCGGCTGCATGCTGCCGCCGCCGATGCCGCTGGCGCCGCCCGCTATGAGGACACCATGCTCATCTGTTAGCTGGAGCGCGGCCTTTAGGCGATCCGCCTGCTCGCGATTCTGTTTGACTTTGATGATGCGCAAGCGCAAAAACTCAATTTTGGCTTTGGAATCCGCCAGCATTTGGTGCGCCTCGGCGAGCAGCTTCTTGTCGCAGCCAATGCCCAGCGATTGTATCATATTCTCGGCGCCCGTCTTCACCTTCATCTCGATCTGCAGCTGCTTCTCCAGCGAGGCCAGCACCTTGTCATTGGCCGTCGCCGGTCCACCGCCGCCGGCCATCGCATTGTTACCGCCCAAGCCACCAACGGCTCCGGCGAGCTGGGCAGCGCCGCTGCCATCAAGGCTGAAGGCAATCGATTCTGTAAACATGAAACAAAATATTTAAAATGAGTTTTTTTTTTTTGGATTTTATTGGAAAGTGTAGCATTATAAACATGTGTATACCCTGTAGTTGGGCATTATAACCGGGTATATTGACTGAGAGCATAGACAAAGCCCATTACATATACAAAGCCTGTGAATATGTATGGCACTTTGTTCTAATATATACCCTCTAATTGGGTGCAACAATAGCAATGTTCGGTACGAAAGGGCACATTAGCTCTGTGTATTGGGGTGAGAGGGTGGGTATATCGGGCTGGCTTAAGACCCACTCACGTATGTCACGGCACATCTACCTGTGCATATATGCTTCACATTCAGGTTCTGGTTACAGGGTATCTTTTAGACCACTATCTTTTCCCAGTTACAGCGTATCTTACGGCTTTGTTTATGACTTTTTTGCCTTAATTTTAGAACACTCTGCTTTTAATAGTTGCCCTTGACTTCAATTTTGCCCACCGGTCAGCTTCTTAAAGGGGGGTCAAATCATTTAACCTAATGCCGCATTTAGCCACATACTGTCAAAGTTCAAGGGTCACTTAAGCCGCGACACGTCTATTACTGTGATGAACGCGGAACAACGTTCACAGGTCGCCCCGCTTGACTGACAACTGCGGACACCCAAGTGCGCCATTTGACACGCTTTATTTACAGTTTAATCTGATTGCACACGACCACTTGAATTAAACTGCAGCTAAAGGGGGGGGGCGAATGGGGTGGAAGGGGCTGATATGCAACAGTTGCTGGCAAGCGCAGGAAACGACAAGGTGACATGCGAATTATGAATAAATGTTGTGTGCAGCTTTTATGAGGACTAGAATAATGAAATAAACAATAAAGAATACAATTTTGATATCTATTATTATAAATAAACATATATATGAATTAAATAAAGGTATTCATACTAATCTATATCAAATCAAAACAGATAAGAACATTTTTTAGAATTTTTCCTGATCTAATAATTTATCAAGCTTCGTATCAAATACACTAGTTATATATACAAATATATATATTGCTTCATATCTCTACTGATTCATAAAGGTCCTAATCAGAGTTAATGAAGAAGAACATGTTAATTCTCAGATAGAACCACACGGTTATTTATTCCTGAAGAGCAGTTGCTGTCATTTGTTGTGAAAGACTAAATAAATATTTAGTATTAGATTAAAACAATTTATCGTTATAGAAATAAGCTAATTGTATCGATATTGGAATTGTAAAGAAAGCATCGATACTACAAGCTCCGATACTGGACTGACTTTCGAGCATGCGGTCAAAATAAATTAAAAAGAGTTAAATAGCTTGACTTAATGTAAGATATAATATATAGGCATATTTTTAGCTCAGCTCTTGAGTAGAATTTTCTCATTGAGTTTAATCGACATTCTATCGAAAAATTTCAGCTCAACTCGAATGCTAATTTATGCTGCACCAACAGCACATAAACCAAAACAAAAAACCAGCTAAGAAATGTTTGTTGCACTTTGCTGGCAGCTGCTGTCAAACATGTCAATCAATTGAGCAGATGTTAACCCATGAAGCTTTCAACAGATGCTAAAGATCTTCACGACGCAGTTGATGATGATAAAGATAATGATGATGTTGAAATCTACTGAGATGCATGCCGCTGACTGCAGCTGGTGGCATGTACCAAACACGGAAACAGATAGATAGACTGCGATACAGTAGAACAAACCCGAAGCGCTGAGCAGTCACATTCAGCTAAATATTTCACGACACTTGTGTCAATAGTTGAATAGAAACAAAAAAAAAAGCCTGCTCTAGCTGGGAAGTGCTGTACTAGAAAATACCTATATCAAGAGTTCTGATCGGAATAGTTAGTTTAAATTACTAATTTGTTAGTTTTTATTTACTGATTTGCGAAAGAACATGAAATGAGCTACTCTGAGATATTGAGATAAACATTTGTCTATGCCTCTTTTAGAGCTTACACACTTTCATATACCCTCTCTGCCATTAATTGCTGATAAGTACAGGGTATGGCACAATA